ATCAGCATGCTGCGTCTGTTCGAGACCTTCCTGGAGAACACGCCGCAGCTCACCCTGCTGCTCTACATTGTCCTGCGGACCAACAAGGCTGAGATCTCTCAAGGTGAGGGGACTGGAGCCAAGGGAGGGGATGCAGGGGTGCAGGCTTGGGTGGAGCAGATCAGAGGGTCTGTCCAGGAGCTGGAGGACCCAGCAAAACACCTGCAGTGTCATTCTGCTCCTGTGTCACTCCTTCCTTTGACGTGTCACGCTATAGGGTAGACCCCTGTCCTGCACTCACATGCCCCAATGAAGCATGCTGGGCTTGGGGTGGGGGGTTTGAAGCTGTGGGAGCACTGTGGTCATTCTGTTATCTGCCCCAGGAGAGGCTGAGGGTCAGGTGAGAAATCAGGCACATTCTGAGGAGTAGGGAGGTGCTGATGTTGGTGTGGGTGAAGCACACACTGAGCAGGGGCTGTGGTGCCCTTCTTGGGGTGGGGAGCGGGTGTCACTGCAGGGAAATGGGGAGCCCAACAATGGGGGAGCCAGCACTCAGCTGCCTGTGTGGGCTGAGGGATTCCATGCCTGGGAGATGGGCTCTGCAGAGCTGTTCAATCCCAGCATTTCTTCCTCATCTTCTGAGCAAGGCCAGGCACCAGCGTCCTTGTCCTCAGGGAGGGCAGAATGCCAGGGGACAGATGCAGGTGTTGATGCTCTGACCCTGACAGCAGCTGCTTTGTGAGCTGGGGGGAAACTCATCTTAGCAGTGGTGGGCAGGGAGAGGTTTGAGCCAGGCTGGGCCACCCCTTGGTCCCCCCTCAGCATTTTCACTGTGGTGATGTTCACAGAGGTCCCAGGATGAGGGAGGAGATGAGAATCTTGACTCCATGTGCCAGAAGGCTGATTTATTATTTTACTATATATATTATATTAAAAGAAAATTATGTACTAAAACTATACTAAAAGAATGGAAGAAAGGATTTCATGGGAAGGGGAGGGGAAGGAAGGGAGGAAGGAAGGAAGGAAGGAAGGAAGTGTTGGAAGGAAGGGAGGGAGAGGTAAAATCTTGTGACTGATCAGAGAGTCTGAGACAGCTGGACTTTGATTGGCCATTAATTAAAAACAGCCACATGAGACCAATCAAAGATGCCCCTGTTGATTCCACAGCAGCAGATAATTATTATTTACATTTAGTTTCTGAAGTCTCTCGGCTTCTCAGGAGAAAAAATCCTAGCAAAGGATTTTTCAGAAAATGTATCTGTGACATTTTCACCTGTGTGTTCACAGGCCTGGGGATGGTCACGGCGTTCCTGTGTGTGTCCTGGTCTCTGCTGGATTACCACCAGTCGCTGCGCTCCTTCCTGCAGGACAAGTACGAGCTGAGCTGGAGCTCCTCCATCGTTTACTTCCTCTGGAACCTCTTCCTCATCTGCCCCCGCATCCTGGCGCTGGCGCTCTTCGCCCTGCTCTGGCCCTACGGCATGGCTGTGCACTTCTCCCTGGTGTGGCTGGCCATGTTCCTGTGGGTCAGCCTGCAGGGCACAGACTTCATGGAGTCCCCGGGCCCCGAGCAGCTTTACCGGGCCGTGGTGGCCGTGATCCTCTACTTCAGCTGGTTCAACGTGGCGCAGGGCAGCACGCTGCACCGCAGCCTCATCTACCACGGCTTCATGCTGGTGGACAGCACCCTGCTGGGCCTGGCCTGGCTCTGGGGCCGGGCTCCCGAGGAGGAGGAGGAGCACTCATACCTCATCCCCGTGCTGTCTGCAGCCCTGCCCTGCTACCTGCTGGGGCTGGGGCTCAGGGTCACCTACTACAAGTGGCTGCACCCCAACGTGCGGGTGCGGCAGGAGGGCAGATACGATGAGGTGGATGCCAATGGAGGGGGTGATGGGGTGGAGTTTCGCTCGTTTTTGGAACCAGACCTGGTCAACAGGCGGATGCAGTGGCTGGCCCAGAGCCACTTCTCCTTGTCCCAGCCAGCACAGCAGCACTTCCTGAATGGAGATGCTGCTGTGGAGTCTGCTGTGTGAGGGCAGCTCCTCTAAAGGGACGTGAGGGGGGAGGTGGACATGTTGGTGTGCCCCTGGTTGTGCCCCCAGGCTGTTGTTTTGGACAGCTGGAGGGAGCTGGCAGAGACCAGGGGTGATGTGCAAACACCCAGTGAGTCCCATGGCACTCAGCATGGCTCCCATGGCTGTACCCTCGGGGAAAGCCACAGTGTGGGGGTCCAGCACATTGTAGCATCTGGCTGCACTGCTCTGTCTACTTTTCTTGTTATTTATTTGTAGCTTTTTCAAAAAAAAGAAAAATGAAAACAAGAGCACTGGTTTATTTTCTCTGTGCCTCTCCTGTGCCTGCTGCTGCCAGTGCTGTGCTGGGATCTGGGTGGTGGGGCCGGGAGGATCTGTTTCCTCCATGGTTGGGGCTATCTGACCTTTCTGTTTCCAGCCAGGCTTTTCCCCCCTGTGTTGGTTTAGGTGTTAAGGTCAAAGCTCACCTGTTATCAGTGTGCTCAGGGAGGGCTGTGCTGGGAGGAGTGGCTGCAGGGTGGCTCAGGGCTTGGACACCTCATGCTGCCCTGGCTGCCATTCCCACCACCACAGCCTGGGCAGGGCTCCCAAGGCCACAGCATTGCTCAGCCATTGGTGGCTGTTGGTGTGGTCAGCGTGTGCCAGCTCCTGGGCACAGACACCCAGCACTCCCCAGCTGGGGCTGCCTCCCCCCAGCTCAGTGCCCAAACCCAGAGCAGCCCCTGCCCTTTGCTGTTGCCCAGCTGGCAGCTGGGGCACATCCTGGCTGCCCACAGCACTGAGCTTTGGCTCCTTCCCCCATCTCCATCCCATCCCTGCCAGGAGGAAACTCCATACCAGGGAAGGCATCAGGATGCAGCTGGAGGAGCAGCTGAAGGCATCTGCTCACAGCTGTTTCACAGCTGCTCCTGTGAGCAGCTCAGCCTGCCCAATGCCAGCAGCACAGGGTGGGAGAGGGGCATTGCCTTGTGCAAAGGAAAATGGGAAGGGAATGTTTTGTGCAGGAGAACACTGAGCAGGAAAACAAAAACACCACAGCAGGGCCCAGGAGCAGGTCCTGCCCCACTGGCTCCCCAGGATCATGGGGGCTCTGGTGGCTGCACTGTGACCTGTGGCACCCCAAATGCTCCTGGTGCTGCCAGACTTGGTTTGAGCTGTCACAGGGGCAGAGAACAGGCTGAAGCACTGACTATAGAAAATAAAGACTTTATTATTTTTTCCAGTTCACAGGACAGTTCCCATCACAGACCATGAACAGGCAAAGGCCCCACAGGCAGCAGCACCTGAGATCACCCTCACAGCAGAGCAGCAGAGCTGCTGTGGGCTCCAGGGTCCTACTGCTTCCCACCAGGGCCAGCACAGACATCTCCCCAAGGGCTCTTGGAGGCAGCAAATATTAGTGGATCAGGTGGTTTTTAAAGCCTCTGTGGCTGTGTTGAAGCTGAAGGGGAAGCCAGCAGCACCCAGGTGAGCTCAGTGCTCTGGGCCTGCAGGCTGACTGTCCTTCAGGTGTTCAGGTTTGCTCTCCCCTTACCCCTGACCTGACTGTAGCTGAACTGGTGACAGAGACAGGAGAAAATCAATGCTTGGACAGAGATGCTGTTGTTGCCTCAAAAGAGACAGGAAAAGGCTTAAATCCAGCCAGTAGAGGAAAAAATAAAATAGCCAGGTCACCCCTTTATTAACAAACACAGAAATGTACCATCAACCTCCTGTTATAAAAGTACTTTACATACATTCAAGGAAACATCATATAAATACCAGTATGAAATGTCAGTGGCTGCGAGTTCCACACTCAGCTAAAATTTTAGCAACATCTTAAAATTTCCTTAAAACATTTGAAGTAAACAAACACAAAGCACAGCCAGCTGCCAGGCAGCTCAGGCCTGCAGGTGCAGCACCTGCTGCCAGTGCCTGGGCAAACCCAGCCCCTCTCCAGCACAGCTCTGCTTCCCATGGCAGCAAAGCTCGTGGGCTGCTCGGCTGTGCCGGTGGTGGGAGGTTAAGGCACAGGTTTTAATCCCAAATTCAGCCAGCTGGAGTATGAGATATGCTCCCAACAGGCTGCTGCACAGGCTGGGACAGCTCCCCAGCCTGCTTACAGGAGACCTTTGGATGGGCTGAGGGATGTTCAGCATCAGCACAGACCCTTCTGTGACTAAAGTGAGTCCTGATCCTCTGGTGACGTTCCCAGCCCTGGCAGCAATGAGGCTGCTCCTCAGCACACAGGGACTGTGTGCACTGGCACTTCACAGGGACCCCAGAGGAGCTGGAGCTGCCTCAGCTGCCTTGAACAGGTGCAGACACACCTTGGCTCTCCACTTGGTGCAGACAGAGAACACCCCTGGGTGCTGCTCCCCTTCCCAAACTGCTGAGCACTCCCAGCACAGCCTGTTTGCCCCCTGGGCAGCCCAACACCCTCTGCTGAGCTGCCCAGCAACACCCAGAGCAGATTCCTCAGAGTTTCCTCATGGATGAGCAGCTCCCACACAGACAGCACGTTCCTGCTGCAGAGCTCCTGGGGAAATACACATACCCTGTACCCACCTGGCCGGGAGCTGAATGGAAAACAGATCACTCCTGACTCCAGTGACCACCCTGGAGAAAGAGAATCGCCTTTGATTCCAATTTAATTAATCTAAAAAAACCCCAAAAAACAAACCCAAAGGGAAAGTGGAGCTGGTTCCATGTGAAATAAACCTCCCAGGTCCAGTCCCTGAGCACGAGGTATCCAAACCCTGGCTCCAGGCACCTTCTGCCCCCTGGGCACTGGAGCTGGCCCAAGATGCCCCCAGGGCACAGCAGAGTCCGTGCAGAGCTGGCCCAGCAGCTCCCCCTGCACTGATGGAAATTAACCTTCAGTAATTAAAGCCGTGAAAGGGATGCAGCAAACACATCCTGCCTGTGTGGGCACAGCAGATGGGTCAGTGTCCTCCTGCAGTGACAGACCTTCAGCCCAGTCCCCCAATGGCTGCTGTGGGGCTGATGACCACGATCTGGAGGGGTCAGGTCTGGCTCTGCAGGAGCAGCAGCAGCAGGTTCTGGGGCACAGCACACTCCTGTCCTCAGGGCTGATCTGGTGCCATCAGGGTACATGGGGGAGACCCCCAAACACAGCCTGAGCTGGCACAAAACCAGCCCAGCCCTTGCTGGCTGTTCCTGCCCAGGGAACAGGTCACTGACTCCAGCCTCTGCTCTTGGACAGCTGCAGAAAAATCAGCATCACCATCCCTCCCAAGTGCTCCATGCTGCCAAGTCACAGTGTCTTAGAAAATTAAGTCCCTCTTAACAAGGCATTTTGTTTGTCACTATGTAGTTAGGCTAATGCAAAGAATGTAAGAAAATTGAATCTGATTCTACTCAAAGGAACTTACAAATAGGGTCAGGAACACAGAGGTGAAGGGTATACCATAGCCAGAGCCTTCTCTGCAACATTCATGAGGATTTAGGAATTAGATTATTCCTAGTCCAGCTGAGGACTCAGTTCACATCTGAGCAGTCTGCACCAGTCTGCTGTACCTGATGTTCACAGGCAATTTCATTTTTATTTGCAGGGAACATCTGTGGGATCTACAGTCCAAAGGCTGAAATCCAGTGATCTCCTGCTGGCTAAAAGGGCTTCTGCACTAGAAGCCACTGGGATCAATTCAGAACACCAACACTTGCCTCTACAAGGAACCACATATTCCAGAAGCATTCCCTTACGTTTATATTTTCCAGTAATCCCACACTGAGGAAATAACATAAGGACATTGTAATAAATTAACTGTTTTGAACACCCAGGGAAGGAGAGAGGACACATTTTACAGCAATAGAGGTATTTTTGACATTTTCATTAATATTTCCTATGAAAAAAACCCACAGCTCTTCGGCTTTGCAAAACAAGGGAGGTTCAAGCTCTGCCATCAGCGTTTTCCTATAAAAATAAATTTTTGTGTTTACTTGGGTTCTACAACTAAGCTGAATAGAAAGAAGAAGGCTCTTACACATAAATCTGCTGTTTTATGGCCCCTCTCTGGAAGCCAGAGGCATTCAGCTGGCTCTGTAAGTCCCTTCTGCACACAAGCTCTAGCTCTGCTGAGTCTAGCGCTTCTTCACAGCACACCTTGGACTTGGCAGGGCCTGTGCTCCCAAGAACAACCTGCTGTCATTTCCCACTGTACAGTTTGCATTAGGTATGTTTTCTTCATCAAGCTGAAAGGTGAGTCCCCAAACACGTGAGATTTCTGTCCCCCAGGAATGGAGAGGGCTGGCAGGAGCTGCAGTCGTGTCTTTGCTCCAGCTTCTTACAGGAAGTCCAACTCAAGGGCTTGGTGAAGGGACACGAGGTCAGCGTGGTTTGTGATCCTCCAGAAGGGCATGTTGTGCTGTGAAGAGAGAGCACAGCCAGGTTCATGCAGGGACTCCCAGCTGAGGTGGAAGCATGCAGGGCTCTGCAGGGTGGTGGTTCTGAGCTCACCACTCTCAGGACACACCTCAGCCACGTGCACATCTGGATCTGGAGCCCATCTCATGTGCACAGCTGTGTGTGACAGGCACCAGCACTGACTGACAGCTGCTCACCATGGAAAGCTTGGCTGTGAGCTGCTGCTGCAGCCAGGAACGCCTGTGCAGGGCTGGCAGCTCTGGCACAGGGCAGAACGTGTGAAGCCTGCAGAGTCAAGGTCCTGACAGTCACCTTTGCACTCACTACTAATTAGCACAACTGAACAACCCATCCAGGCCTGTCCAAGCCAATCAATCTCTTTGCTCCTTGTTTGTAATCAGGCTAATGGCAGGTGCTGTATTGATCTGCTGCTGATCCTGAGCCCTGACTCCTCCACACTCCTGAGGAACTGCAATACCCTGACAGTCACAGCCTATGATCAGCATACAGAACCACAGAATCATCAAGGGTGGAAGGGACATCCGAGATTGTCACCATGATACTTTCTGAAAAATCCTCTTTGCCCAGGATTTTCTCCTGGGAAGCTGAGAGGCCTCAGAAAAGAATGAAAACAATAATTTTCTGATTGCTTGGGAATGTGATCTGGAGCTCATTTGCCAACAGGTGCATCTTTGATTGGCTCCATGTGAATTGTTTTTAATTAATGACCAATCAGCATCAGCTGTGTCGGACTCTGAGGAGTCAGTCATGAGCTTTCAGGATCATTCTTGTTAAGCCTTCTGATGTATCCCTCCTCTTTCCTTGGTATAGGGATGGGATGGGATGGGATGGGATGGGATGGGATGGGATGGGATGAGAAGAGAAGAGAAGAGAAGAGAAGAGAAGAGAAGAGAAGAGAAGAGAAGAGAAGAGAAGAGAAGAGAAGAGAAGAGAAAAGAATCAGCTTTCTGAGAACACGCAGTCAAATTCTCATCTCTCACCTTGTCCTGGGGACCTCACAACACCACACAAGATCACTGAGTCCAACATGCTATACAAAGACACTGCTGACAGGAACAGTGTCATATGCAATCCTAAACTACAGTAAAAGAGAATCTTTAAGCACCCAGGAGCCAGAAATCTGCCCATCTTACCACAATGGAAGATCTCTTGCATCAAAGGCAAACTTCGCTCCTGGCTGCCCTGGCCTGAGGAGCTCAGCTTGGAAGGAGATTCCTTGTAGGGAAGCCTGGCAGGAGTTCCCTCTGCAGTCACACTGTCACACCCACCTGCTTGGCTGCCACCTCCTCGTCACGGCCGTCTCCGATCACCACGTACGTCACCTTCTTCCCAAAGCGTGACACAATCCTCTCAAAGCAGCTCTCCTTACCTGCCAAAGACAATCCCCCTGTAAGGAACCTCAGGCACACAGAAACAGAACCTCAACAGCCTCAACAGCTCCCTTCCTCCCAGTACAGAAACACTTCTGGTCTTACTGGGCAGGGACAGCACCCAGTTCAGCTCCCAAGACCAGAAGCCTTCATCAGGTGGATCACAGCATTGGCTGCTCAGCTGCACAAATGGCATTTCCCCTTGTCAAGATCCCAGCTAACCCTCAGCAGATGGCACCATGCCAGACTTGGCACACTCCCTTACCTATTTTTGTAGCACTATAAATATTTTCAATGGGAAACACCTCGCCCAATCCGTACAGAAGAACTTTGGCAAGAGCTGGCATCAGCTGGGTGGTTGTGATCAGGATGTTCTCACAGTTTTTTCTGAAAGAAGAAAAACACTTGTAACAGCACATCTACAGGCAGGGGTGCCAGGACTGCTCCAGGCAGTCTGATCAGCTCCCCAGGTGCCAGGTGCTTTGTTGTCCTGCTTTCAGGAGGCATTTTAGGACAAGGTTTTGCAATTTTTGCTTGTTTGCTTCTGGCAGAATTCCCTGTCAGAAAAACCATTTGGTGAGCATGGGGACCTTGCTAATTACAGGTGCTGCAGCAGAGACACAGGTGATTTTCTTGCCCTCAGACAGGGGCAGTGCCCAGCACAGTGCTGCACCTCAGGGCCAGAAAGGGCTGAGAAAGCCCCACATGCACCTGCAGGTTCCATACCTGGACTGGATGAGCAGCAGGGACTTTAATGCAGTTTCCAGCCAGGAATCTGTCAGCACTTCTATGTCAGTCCTCAGTCTCTGCAGAGCTTCCCTCTTCTGTGGGCTGAGCAGGCCTGCAAGGTGAGGAACACGTGTTTGCCTGGCAAGCCTGACACAGGGAGGGCTGTGCAATAAATAACACAACTGCCTGCAACAGATAACTGCCTGCTCTGCAATAAATAACACAACTGAAGCCTCTGGGAGCTGGACTGTCTCAAAGCAGTGAAAGAAACCAGCTCCCAGTGACATGAATGAGCCCAGAACTGACTTATCTGCAATCATTTCAAAGCATTTTTCAGGACACAGACAAAGACACTTCTCTTGCACAAAGCACTTGCAGTAGCAGGGGTCCAAGGCCACAGAGCAGGGGAAGGAACTCCTACAGTCTCCCTCTCTGACTTTCTGCTTTCCAAGGACCTTTTCCACTTTAAGCCCTTTTATATATATATTTTTTAACTACCCCCCTTATTTTATTCCCCCGCTTGTAATTGCTTTTAGATATAATTTTCTTCAAGCCTCCAGTTTTGAATTAAAAGCAGACAGAAGTGAAGCCCATTTCTGCTCCTGACAGTAAACACAGCAAGAAAGGAGCACATGGAGCTTGCACATCTCTCCAATCTCCATCCATGAGGTTTGAGCCCCCCCTCACTGCATCCTTCTGCTACACTGAGGCCACAGAGGGACCCAGAGGCTGCACTGACAGCTGCTTCATCATGCAGCTTTCTATAAGTCCTCAAAAACTCTGCATCTATGTTTCCCACAAGTAAAATATGAAATCATGATCTGATTCCCCCTACAAGTAATCAGGTAACTGCAGCACACTGAACTGCAGACCTGTACTGGCAGATTTTTAAGGCTGAAAGCTGTAGCTATGAACACCTGGTTTTTAGAAAATATGTCCCAAAAATACATTTATCAAGGTTTTTGTTTAGGCAAAGGGTAGCCAATCCCACAACCAACCAAGCCAAGCCACCCTACCAGGTGAGCAATGTTCCTTTTATGGGGATGGCAATGCCAAGATTCAGACAAAACAGAAAATTCATCTCCATTTGCTCACTGTGGTTTGCATGATTATGACTGCTTTGGAGTTGAAAGGGAAGTGAAACTCGAAGGCTTTAAGTGACTTAGTGGAGAGAGAGGAGAGAAGTCATATCAAACTGGCTTTAAATGACTTTGTGGAGAGAGAGCAGAGAAGTCATATCAAACTGTGGGCCCGACAGCCCAGGGGTGACCGCTGTATTTCCTGACAATGAAATGAGCAAAGGGACTTTGTGCAGACATGAATGAGAGCTCCTGAGCAGCAGGGTAAGTTCAGGCCACAGCTGAGCAGGGTGCCAGGCAGCCTTTCACACCCAATTAGCAAAGGGACATTATCTGCACCAAACCTTTGCCTCTAGGACTGAGTGCCCATCCTTACCTGCATGATAAATCACAGCCTGCACTGGCACACTGCTAGCTTTTGGAACAAGAACCCTCTTAGATTCCATGGGAATCTGATCCCAGTTAGCACTAGGAGAATGCTTTACTCCTCATGTCACACAGGAAGGGTGGAGTCTGGCCCCACCTCACACCCTCAGTGCCCACTCACCTCCCACGTTGGTTTTGTACTTGTTGTAGATCTCGCGGACCCGGCGGTAGCGAAAGGCCAATTTCCTCATCCAGTCCACGCCCTGCACTCCCACTGAGGAGCTGTGGTTGGCATTGCTGCCCGAGCCACTGAACCCATCCGTGGAGAAGTTGTAGTTGCTGTTGCAGGAAAGCAGATGTGTTAGCTGTGTCACTGATTATTTTCTGAAAAATACCTTTGCCAGGATTTTCCTCCTGAGAAGCTGAGAGGCCTCAGAAACAAAATGGAAACAATGATTATCTGATTGCTTGGAATGTGGTTTGGAGGTTGCTGACCAACAGGTGCACCTTTGATTGGTTCCATGTGGGTTGTTTTTACTTGAAGACCAATCATGGTCCAGCTGTGTCAGACTGTCTTGTGTTTTACTATTCGTTCTTTTCTAGCTTTCTGATGTCTCCTTCCTTCTATTCTTTTAGTATAGTTTTAGTTTATCATTTCCTTTTAATATAATATATATGATAAAATAATAAATCAGCCTTCTGAAACATGGAGTCAAGATTCTCATCTCTCCCCTTGTCCTTGGGACCCTCACACCCACATTGGGTGTGCCACAGCAGCAGAAGCACTGAGGCATTTCTGGTGAGGCTGCTGATGGCAGCAGCTGGAGAACAGCTCAGAGAGGAGCTGCACAAGCACCTGGGGAGCAGAGCCTGGCTCCTGTGGGAATGCTGACACCCAGCTGCTGCACGGATACAACTCCTCTCACACCCTTCACTACAAAACCTTCCTTTACTCTTTGGCTGCTCACTCCTCTGCCACACAGAGCATCCTTCCCACTGACCCCTTCCCCATCCTGCAGCAACAAACCCCAGCACACCTTCCAAACACAGCACCCATGTCCTTCCATCACAGCTGCAGCTCCACAAGCAGAGCTTCACCAGTTTATAACTGCAGAAAGCAAGTCCTGCTTCACCACTTTTTCTGCATTTCTCTCTCCCTGACAGATCTTTCTCAGACTTTTTTCATGAGCCAGTTCAGCTCAGTAAAAAACCTTCCTCCCCCTGTTTGATAGTGAGCACCACAAGCTCTCAGAGGGATGCAAACCACAGGGGGACTTCCAAAGGTCAAGAACATGGAATCACAGGATGGTTTAGGTTGGACTGGATCTTGAAGATCATCTCATTCTAAACCCCTGCCACAGGCAGGGACTTTTTCCACTAATCTGAGTAACCATTAGATTAGGTTACCAATCTAATGCTGTCATCATGAGATCTGCAGTGCTGGCTCTCCTTGTCACTGAGCACTGAGCAGCATTCAACAGTGGACAATGTAAGTCACAATATCATTTCAAAACTCTTAATGCTTTGTAGGTCTTTAAAGAAATGCCCCCCAGCAAACAAACACTGTGCCAGGTTTCATTCCTGGCACAATGCTGAGCTCCATCCCTGAACCCCATCTGCATTTGAAGTCTTCACAAAACCTGAGTACATCAGCAACACATTTCCTGCATTCATCAGTACAACCTTAGATCCTGGCCATTGTCATCAGATGCCACATCCTCTATGTGCACCTGGTCACACTCCTGGTAAAGACAAAAAAACCACAAAAATAAAGTCACGTTGTGGTAATCCAGAAACACAATGACATTTACAGATTAAAGAAACTGTGATAGAAACCAATCCCTTCACACTTCCCAACAGCAACAAGCCATGCCACAGTGAGAAGAGCTCATCAGCTCAGAAATGCAAATCCAGGATGGATCAGACATCACTGTTTTTATTTGTACAGGTCCAAGTAAAAACCCAGCAGAAACTGAGAGAGCTCCTGACACTGGAAGGCTGCAGAATTCCTCCCAGCTAAGAGTGCCCCCCTGATTTGGCTGTGCTTACTTTTAGTATATAATTTTATATAGAGAGTATGTAAGAGTATATATATAAAGTACATAAGAGGCTCTGAAGCACAGAGGCCTCACAGAGTGAGGTGTAATTCTGACATGGTAATGTGGAGTTCTGCCTTTCAAACATTTGCCATGTACCTCCAAGTCATTGAAAAACAAGTGAGTATCAGCAACTTCAAAAATCATCTCCTCCATGGACAGACCTGAGCCAATCACTAGAGTTGGATCCTGGAAAAAAACAAAAAGAAAATGCAAATGCACTGTGGATACAGGCAGGAAGGAATTGTCACAAATCTCTCATCAGTTAAATTGCACAGAGTTTCCACTGTATATCAAACCTGGCATAATTCCAGCTACATTCAATGGTGTTAACTGCAATTTCCCTAGTATTTTAAACAACTCAATTAAAAAACCAAACCCTTCAGTGCCCCACAGGAGAGACTGATATATTTTCACAGTCAGCACATACAAAACATTCAAAAATCTACAATGTCTTTTGGGAGAGAAAAACCACTTCTTTCCCCTATGTGCAAGGACCTCAGTTATTCCCAGTGAGGGTGAAACAGTTTGACAGACTTGCATTTTAAGAAGGGACATGGTGGTGATGTCCATGTCCTAGCTCTGTATAAAGCCAAATTTAGTTCCTTCCCTGCCCCAAACTGCCAACAACTTAAAAGTACCACCACAGAGAGTTTAAAAAACCCCAAACTATTCCTTCTCCAAAGACTAACATTCAATTCTGCACGACAGAAATATTTCTTCCATGGAAAATTCAGTATTACCTTGCCATATTTTTGAGCATAAGACCCTGTGAGAAGAGAATGGAAGATGATGATGGTCTCATCCAGGTCCCAGAGAAACACCCTCTGCAGAGAGAGCAACAGGAGGTTAGAGCTGAGAGATTCCAGGCACTGAACTGCAATAAAGGAACAAGTTTTCATTTTGTGCTTAGCTGCAGTATGCTCTAACAGGTATGAACAATTGTCATCCTAGAGGCTGAAAACATTCAATTCTTCAGTTTATTGCAGGGCAGTTTATTTATAAGCACACATTCAGGCTATGGCTGTTTGGTCAAACTATTTCAAAAGCTTCTCTTGCTTTTATAGTTATGAAAATGAAGCTTAGAGTGCTAATGAATTTTAGAGTCGTGCTGAGGTGAAGTGTACTTCCTGTGATCTGGAGAGCACCAGTGCATGCCCTTGGTGTTTGCCAGAGAAACCTTTGTTATAAATAAGGCACTGGGCTGCCACGAGGAATGGCAGAGCTTTGGTACAGAGGGACTTTGAGAGCTGGGCCAACAGGTGGGGTGGAAAACCCCTCACACTGGTTCTGAAGGAGCTGGAGGGCAAATTGGACACCAGGACAAGCCAGCAGCACTCTCTCCCTGTGGAGCAGGTGATTCTCCTGCTGGAGTGTGCCATGTGTGCCAGAAAGGAGGTGATGTCTCAACCTGTTTGGCACTGGGAAGGTGACCCCAGACTGCATCCCTGGTCCCAGGGGTCTGTGAGGAAATGAGAGCTGCCAGCAAAACGCTACTGAGATGGTCAGCAGCCCACAGGAGAGGCTAAGGAAACTGGGATGGCTTCTCTCAGCAAACAGGAGACTAAAGGATATCCAACAGGAGACCACAACTAACTGAAAGGGAACTGCAAAGGAGACAGAGACAAATTCTTTTCAGTAGTGGCAGATGGAAAATTGCTGTGGAAGTAGAAGGGGAAATTTGCAGCATGGGAGATTGCAAGTGGAGACAGACAAGCTCCTTCCCTGGGTGGATGTGGCAGTGCTGGGACATCACTGGGAACAGGATCTCACTGTCTAGGTACAGGATCTGCAGCCCTGGAGGCTCTCATAGCTCAGGCAGGCAAAGCCACAGCCCCAGTGCTGGGGACTATTTACCTCCAGTTCACTGTCCTGGGAGGAGGAGGTATCTGCTTTCCTCTTCCCTCTGTTCTTTCCAGGGATGTTTTTTCTTGCTTGCTCATCTAACTCTTTACTTGCTGTTGCTCTTGGTAGCAGAGGACTTGTGGATGCATCTCCTGGAAGAAAGAAATCACACAGCTCTCATCCCCTTGTGTCCAAAAACAAACACCAATGCAGCAAAAGCTAAGATGTAACTTTACTATGTGGATGCAGTAATAGTTGAACCTTGATTAGAACACAAACCATTGTCACCGACATTTTTTCATAAAAATCCTTTCTTTAGGATTTTCCCTCTTCTGGGAAGCTGAGGCCCCAGAAAGAGAATGCAAACAATGGTTATCTGCTGCTGTGGAAAGCAACAGGTGCACCTGTGATTGGCCCACGTTGCTTGTGTACAATTAAGGGCCAATCAAAAGACAAGCCTTTCTCTGGGACAGATCAGAGAGAGCTCCTTTGTTATTGATTCCAATTTCTATTCTTAGCTTAGCAGCTTCTGAACTTTTCTCTCTACTCCTTTTAGTATAGTCTTAATGTATTATATATCATAAAATAATAAATCCAGCCTTCTGATCTTGAAGCCAAGATTCTAGTCTATCTCTCTCACCCTGAGGAACACTTGCAAAGCCCTGTAACAAACCATGATTTCTTCATCCCATCATTTCAAAACAGCTCTGTCTCCTCAATTCAGTCCCCCAGAACTGAGCTATTGCAACAGCTACTGCCTGCAGAGCAGAGCCAGAGCAGAGCAGTCATTTCACTACTCTATTACTGGAGTTCCACTACTGGAACTACTCTGTTACTCGACTATGTCTATTTTATTTAATAGAAAGTTGAATATAAAAGAGTAACAGTGATGATGTTGGCCCTGGAGACAGCCTTGGCCATGACCAAGCAGGATGGCCATAAGTGACAGGGAGATGGGATGGAGCCTGTTCTGCTATGGCTAAGAACACAATTCCTAGGGACAGAGGACACAGAGCACATCACCTCCTGCATCTTTCTCTCCTGCAGGCAGGTGTTCAGAGTGCTCCCTCTCCCTGGGGCACACAGAGCAGTGCTAGGAGTCCTGCAATGGCAGCAGTAGAAGGTTTTTGATACCTCAGTTTGGCTGGCGCACCATAATACTCTGCACCCAGGAGGTCTCAGGAAGGTTCTGCCAAGGAAGGCCAGTACCCAGCATGCCAAGATGCTGCAGGTACCCTCTGGAGATGTTTCCCCACACCTGCCCCTGCAGTGTTCAGGGGAATTTCACAGGGAATTTCAGAGGGATTCCACAGCCCCAGCCTCACCAGAGGAAGGTCTCTGCACTGCCCCAGCTGGCACCAGGGCATTTGGTTTCTCCTCTGGGAACGTGGTGGTGGCCAGGGCCAGGCTCTCTGTGCTGCTGTCTGCTGGTGGCACCACTCCAAAGCCTGAGCTTGGGTAGCAGGTCTGATACTGGCTCTGGCCAAGGATGGTGTAGGTAGGATATTCCTGTTGGGAAAGAGTTAGTGATGGTAGGATACCTCATTAGAAAACACTCTGAACCTCTGGCTTTTGTACAAGAAATTCCTGTCACAGACACATTTTATGAAAAATCCTTTGCTAGATCTTTTCTCCTGAGAATCTGAGAGGCCTCAGAAATTAAATGTAAACAATGATTATCTGCTGCTGTGGAATGCAACAGGTGCATCTGTGATTGGTCTCAGGTGGTTGTTTCTAATTAATGGCCAATCACAGTCAGCTGGCTCAGACTCTCTGGTCAGTCACAACATATTATAATCATTCCATTCCTTTCAAGCCTTCTGATGAAATCCTGTCTTCTATTCTTTTAGTACAGTTTTAATATAATTATATATATAGTCTTACATTTAATATATTTTAAATATATATTATATATATTATTTTTATGTATAATATTTTATATAGTTTTAATATAATTATATAGATAATAAAATAATAAATCAGCCTTCTGAAACATGGAGTCAAGATTCTCATCTTTTCCCTCGTCCTGGGACTCCACCACAATATCCTGTCCAAAAAAATCCCAGCAAGAGCACAGGCTGACTTTATGCTGTTTCATTCTGCATATGAAGACATTCCCAAAAAGGGCTGACAGCTCTGGCTGCCCAGTGGCTCCTGCAGAGGACACCAGTGATCACAGGGCCATTCTTCTGCTTCCAGTGGCTGCAAAAATTAATTCATAATGACTGAACAGACAACAACAGGAGAGTTGAGTGGATGCCAAGACATCAGTGCACTCTGTGCTCTGGAATGTGTGGTTTTGTCTTGCATTTGACAGTGACAGAGAGTGACCTTGGGCCTTGCTGAGGGCACAACTACAGGATAAATGGCTCTTAGTCATGTGCTGACTTCATCAAGCAATAATTCTGCATGCTGGAAGGCATCCATTTATGAAAAGCACTTAATTCATTTAGGAGACTGCTCAGCACCTGGAGCTGTGCTTGAGGATGTCACCTTCTGCTACTGACAGTAAAAAAAGCAAATGTGTCATCACACTAATCTGGTACACAGTGCTCTCCTGATTCCCTTGAAGAGCAGCCTGGCTTTGTGCACCAGGAACCCTGGTCTGAAATACTAAAAGAAAATATTTTTTTCCCCTTACAGTTCCAAACAAGTTAATGTTTCAAAAGCAACAGCATAAGCACAGAGGGATTTTTGTGCATCCATTGCATTTTCCACACTTCCTGTACTCTCTTTCTGAAAAGCTGGACACTGAAAGCTTCCTCTGTATAACCAAGAGCTCAGAATGGCTGTTAACCACCCACAGAGGAAAAAGGCAGGGAGAAATGGTCTCTGTTAGCTTGCAGGGATTCTCACTTTGTTCTACTCTACCATCAGAATGCACACCCTAATTTATTGGGTTGGGTTCGTTTGGGTACAACCTCATTTCCTATTCTTGCTGAGGGAGAACAAAGGTGTCAAGAAAACACCCAACTCTAATCCTCCCTGCAGGTTTAGTCCTCAACACAGCTGGATTGGTTCTTCCCCTCCACCTCTCCTGCAGAGATCTCAGTTTTAGGACTCACCTCACAATCTGCAGATGAGACAACAGCTCTGAACAGATGGAGTGAGTTTGTTGCAAAGGCCAAAGGGAGAAGCATCATGGTCAAAGAGACAGCAGGAGTGATTTGGTGATTTGAGTTACACCCTGAGCCCCACAGCTCCAGTACCACAAGTGATATTTCCATGATAATTTTGATCAACTTGTTAAACAAAGGTAAAGGAGATGGTACATATAAATTTACCAAGGAGGTTTTACCTGTGAGATGCTGGCTACTGCTGATGTGGAAATATTGACAACAGTTGAGGATGTAGAGACTGGACTGGCATTGGTAGTTGATGCTGTAAAATTGAGAATTACTGCATTAAATATTCTAGAAAAGCAGAAGAAATGAGAAGTTGTGAAATAAATACTTACTAGGCAAACGTGCAAGCAGCACTCTGCTACCAACACCCAGAAAAGGACTGCGGTGTGTTTGACACCAGATTTTGACACATTTCAGTTGGGTTTACAGGAAAGAAGAGCAAGTACATCTTTAAAACCAGTCCTTTCCAATGGTTCAGAAACCTTTTCCCTCCATGGCTGCTAAGCAATTGATGTAGAATTAAAAAGGTTTTACATATTTGATAAGACAACAGTCCCATTCTGATGATCAATCAGTAGCAGATGAAAATGAATCAGAATAAATCAAGAAAAAGGACATGAATGTGTTTAAATCAGTTCTGTTAAAAATGCATCAAACTTAGCATTTTTAGTCTAATTAGATTTAAAATTTAAGGAAACATTAAGAAGTTTTACATAGTAGAAACAGAGTGTTTCCTCCTGGAGAAAGTGAGCATCTCTCCCAACATCCCTGTGTCTAGAAATGCTTTTTGGATGTGATTTTCTGAAATAATCTGTCAACAGCTCACAGGATGAGTTCTTAGGGATGTGTAGTTGTTGGCACCAACTTGAAGATGTTTCCTAAGCTTTGTGTCACTGCATTCAGCTCTCCCAAAACACAGAAGGGGCTGCTAGAGCAGCACTTGGGAACACCAGTGGTTTAGCAGTTTTTGGGGGATTACAGACACAGGGCCACTCCATTAAACATTCCTCAACATGGAGGTTTGGGACTCACAAGAATAACAACAAATAATTAAACCAGCAGGAACAAAACCAGAATGTACAAAACCAGATGCCACCAAGAACTATTTTCTAAACCACCTTCCTCTGCACACAAATAAAACCAAAAAAATCACTTTCAGATGCTTATATAGACTTGCAGAAATTCACAGTATCCCTACCTTACCATCACTCTGAGAAAAACCCATATTTTCTGCAAATACCACAACATAAAATTCACTCCAAGAACTCAAACTTCTGAAGGATTCAGTCCTGCTCCCCCAGGAAAACAGACCCACCATGAACTCTTAATGAGTGTATGTTGTGCTATGGGAAGCACCAATACTACCTGGTGCCTCCAGGAAAGAGGAATGCATCCAAAATACACCTCAAAAAAGTTTAGAAAAGAAACAGATCTTAAAAGATGTCTAGAAATACACAGGATTTACAGGAGATGAGAAATATGAAGGGTGATGTCACTGATACATTTTATGAAAAATCCTTTCCTTAGGATTTTTTCCTCCTGAGAAGCTGAAGAGGCCTCAGGAACAAAATGTAAACATTGATTATCTGCTGCTGTGGAATGCAACAGGTGCATCTGGGATTGGTCTCATGGGGTTATTTATTTCTAATTAATCGCCAATCACAGTCAGCTGTCTCAGACTCTCTGTCCGAGACACAAACCTTTGTTATTCCTTTTTTTTTTCTATTCTTAGCCAGCCTTCTGATGAAATCCTTTCTTCTATCCTTTCAGTATCGTTTTAATGTAATATACATCATAAAATAATCAATCAGCCTTCTGAAACATGGAGTCAGATCCTCATCCCTTCCCTCATCCTAACACCCCTGTGAACACCGTCACAGGGTGACATCTCTGTGGAAGCAGAAACAAAGGGAAGTAATCAGCCCCAGAAACATTTAGAAAAAGGCAAAATTGCTGCACTGAACAGCAATAATGGCAGTGAAGACACTCAAGGGCCTGCAGCAGTTCCACAGGTATTGAATCCCAGCTGTGTGAGCCCAGGAAGCTGCCACAAACACTCCTCATAAACAACTGCTCAAAACCAGGGGCAGTTTCCAAATAAAGCTCCTTCCTTGCACATTATGGAAACTATCAGGGTGTATCACCTTAAAAGAAGGTCCCTTCCTAGGTCCCTGTGAAGCTCAGCTCTCCAGAAAAGACCCTTGCTAAGTGAACAAACCTGCAGCCAGAGCAGAGCAGCTCTCTGGAAGACAAACTGTTACACCACTGCTCTCAAGACTGCTATGGAGAGGAAACAGAAAGTGATTCTTATCTGTAATGCTCTGCACAGGCTGCTTCTCCACTCAGATTGATTACAGAAGTTAAGAAATGAGAAAAAAGCTTTGGCATTCCCTCACATGGACTTCATTGTTTATTTTAACTCTGGTCTCCCTCCAACAGGTCTTTTTAATAATCCTGTATCTAAACATTGCTTCATACCAGATTTTTTTCAAACAGTTCCCACCACACGGATGAACCAATTCTTCCTGCACTGTGGGCCACTTCCTTTAACCTGTGAATGGGTCAGAACTATGCAAAAATATTTGGCAAAGATTTGCTAAACATGACTTGAAGGGCTGAGGTTTCAAGACCAGCAAACACAAGTACTGCATTAAAGATGCCATGACTCTTTTCCTTTCTTTATCCCTCACTTCAGACCTCATCCTCTGACATTACATTCCTGCCTCTACCTTACTAATCCCAATCTGCTTTGCTTCAATCATTTCCAAAGAGCCAAAGCCAGAACCATGCACGGAAATTCCCCTCCAGTGGGTCAGCACCATTGTACAGCTGTGTCTCATCCTGATTTGAGTGGAGAGAAAAGAAAGATATTCCAGGGATTATTATTGAGATATCCCAGGGATTACTATTGAAACAACTCTGTCCATCCTTTCAACACCTCCCTGGCACCAGCCCCTGTACTGGCCTGAACCCTTGGTGAGCTGCTTGAGAAGGAAATACAGCAAATTTGAAAATGGAAAAGTTTCCTGCAAGTCTGCAAAAAGTTTTTCCAAAAAGCAACAGCATTTGCACCATTGGAGTGACTTTCGCACACTTTGGGGTGACTTGTGCACACTTTCAGAGAGCAGCCTGCAGGGGAATTTCTCACATCACACATTCTCCCAGCAGCACAGATTAAAATCCTTCTCCTGTGTGAAAGCCTGACAAAGCTGGGGGTGAGCAGTTTGCAGAAGAGAAAACTCCAGGAGACCTTAGAGCCCCTTCCAGCATCCAGAGGGGCTCAGAGAGAGCTGGAGAACTTTGGACAAGGGATGGAGTGACAGGAAAAGGGGGATGGCTTCTCACTGCCAGAGGACAGGGTTAGATGGGACATTGAGAAGAATTCTTGGCTGTGAGGATGATCAGCAAAGCTGTGGCTGCCCCTGGATGCCTGGAAGTGCCCAAGGCCAGGCTGGACAGGGCTTGGAGCACCTGGAATAATGAAAGTGTCCCTGCCATGGCAGAGGGGTTGGAAGGGGATCATCTTTAAGGTTCCTTCCACCCAAACAAGTCTGTGATTTTATAATTCACAGAACAAGGCCTGGCATGGGTCTGTCCCCTCAGCACCCCCAGGGATCCACCTGCCCTTCATGGGAAATCTTGTGTAGCACCATCCCTGAGCCCTGGCAACTCCAGCTGGTCTGTGAAATCAGTGAATCATTCTGCTGGGGGAAGGAGGGTTATGCTGGAAAAAGGGAGAATTTCCAGTATTGCTTCCCTTTTATTTAACTAACTGAATTCCAGAGTGGTTTGCTCAAGATGCACAAAGTTGTTTTCCCTCAATCAATGAATAAAACTCTGGTCCTGCTGCTTCTGGAGCCCGTGTGCTCACAAAAAATGATCAGTTCATTGCAGGTAATTTATGAATGCAGTTATGCATGAGAAAAGTAAATTAAGGATAAATACTACACCTGGCCATTGACTGTCTCAATAATGCAAGCTGAGCAAGTACCACGACATACCAATGACTTTCCTCTGTGAGAGACATGCTAAAACCCACTCACTGCTAATTTTAAGAATTATCCTCCTTTTCTTGGCTCACATGAGGCCACATCTGGTTGTGGCATTCAGTTTGGTCCCTCAAGCACAAGAAACATGTTGATAAAATTCAGTGTTGATAAAATTCAGCAGATAAAATCCTGCTAAAGAGACACCAAACCAGCCAGGGATCTGGAGAATGTGCCCTGCAAGGGGCATTTCAGGGGACAGGGACTGTCCAGCCAGGAGAGGAGGTGGCTTTGGGGACCTGATGCAGCCTGCTGGTACCTGCAGGGACATTAGTGAGAGGACAGACACAAGCTCTTTTTGCAGGTGTGCAGCAGCAGCAGCAGGAGAGAAATGGTCAGAACATGGAAAAGTGAAAGCTCTGAGTCAATAAAAGAAAAAAAAATTCATCATAATGACAGTCAGGTTCTGGAACTGGCAAAATTTCCAGCCTTGGAGGTTTTGGAGATGTACCTAGATAAAGCTCTGAGCAATCTAGTTCTGAATTCTGCAGCAACTACTCTTTGAGCAGGAAGCTGAACTGAAAATTTCCTCAAGTCCCTGAATTATTTTGTGAAAATATTCCACAAGGCATAGATTAGAAATTCCTGAAATGCTTTATAAAATTTCCAGAGAAAGAGACAAATTTTCACCATTTGTCACCAAAACATAAATGGCAAATTCCAGCCTAAAGAAGAGGTATCAATTTGCAAATATGTGCCATAAACAACAATATTCCATTATTCAGCTATCTGGTATATTCACTCCTAAAAACTGCTGTGGAAGCTGGTGAAATTCAGCACCTGCCCTCTTAGATGTGGCAATTCCAGCAATTATAATATTTTAATGGTAGTTCTATACATAAATGACAAATTCCAGCCTAAAGAAGAAGTATCAATTTGCACACATGTGCCATAAGCAACAATATTCCATTATTCAGCTATCTGGTACATTCACTGCTGTGGAAGCTGGTGAAATTCAGCACCCGCCTCCTTAGATGTGGCAATTCCAGCAATGATAATATTTTAATGGTAGTTCTATACATAAATGACAAATTCCAGCCTAAAGAAGAGGTATCAATTTGCAGATAGGTGCCATAAGCAACAATATTCCATTATTCAGCTATCTGATATATTCACTGCTGTGGAAGCTGGTGAAATTCAGCACCTGCCTTCTTAGATGTGGCAATTCCAGCAATGATAATATTTTAATGGTAGTTCTGTACTGAGAAATTCACTTCCTAGCAGATCTACCAACCTGTGTCTGTGACATTCAAGAGCCATCTACCTCCAGAAGGAATTAAAAACTAATGTTTAACAATCTCACTGAGCCAGCATATTTCCTGCCATCAATCTAAAGACCACAAACAAAGAGAAATGCAAGAGCACTCCCAATAAAGCATGCAGGAACACAACAAGGAGTCTCTTTCCCCTTCCCATTTGCCCCTCACCCTGTCCAGCCCAGCAGCATGGCACCAACGAGCCAGCCTGGTGCACACACAGGGGGGAGCAAACACAACCCCACAAACACACAGGCACAAAGAGAAAAGAGGCAAAGCATCAAGAAGCATGCACAAACCAAGGAGAAGCGTGCAGGCCTCTCTAGTTTGGTATCTGGACTCAGTTAGGTGGAGAGAGATGCAGATAAAAACCATGCCAAGTTACCTTCAATGGAATAAGAATAATGTGCTGGGCTGGGCTGGCTTGTGGTTAACCCTGTAGTGCAGGTAAGAACACTGTGCTGACTTGTAGATGGAGTCTGAATTAAACCACTTTCAGGTTTCATACCTGGCCACAGTGCACCTGAATCAGATAAATTGGACCAGTTACAAACAAATATGCTGGGACCAAACAGCATGCTCCTACCTCAGATTAAGATTGTTGCTCATCACAAAAGCAAGTAACAAATGACACATGGAAAATGTTTAATTTTGGCAATAGTAAGCACTGACTGTCAGGCTGTGCAGGGATTAGAGCTGGTGACCAAATGGCTGAAAAAGAGAAAATTAAAAGCACCAAGAAGATTAATTTGCAAAGCTTTTAACTAAAATCTGTTTGTGTCACTGAGATTCAGTGCCCATGCAGATAAAGGACCTGACACTGGCTGTGACTTTGGGCTGCACAGCACTACAAGTGACATCAGCTGTGACAGAGAGGCAAAAGCTGGGATCTATAGGCCAAGCTCAACTCCACTACTTCACTGGGCTTTGGGATGAATATTCTAAACCAAGCCACAAGTCAGTAATTTTCCCAGACTGACAACAACAAATATAGAGCTAAAAAATTAGTTAAAAATCTGAATGTTTCTTCCAGACTTCCTGTTGTTTGGGAATGCTTTTGTAAGAACCCTGGGCACAGCACAGAGAGCAGAGTGACTGCAATTATGTGCACAGGGCACACCAAGCATGTGGCTCAGCTTGGGTGCTGTGTAAGGTGAGGTCTCTGCACTGATGGGTGCCAACAGTGCCCAACTGAGGCTGCTCAGCCCAGGCCTCACTCCTCAGGGCTCTTCAGGCTTTCATTTGAGTGTCCCCACATCTACAGCCAAAGGTAAAGACAATTCTCCCTTGCCCTGGTTAGGAAGCAGAAATATTTTGAGAGAATCTACTTACAAACAAGCAGGAGTGTGCAAAGCAGAGGGACAAAGGAGGTTTGGAGCTAGACAGAGGTCAGGGCCATCAGAAAGAGCACCCTCCTTTTTAAACAGCCTGAGAACAGTACCAAGGCTGCAGAAGCCCCCTGCAGCCTTCACCCACTCCAGCAGGACTAAGCCATGGGCTGTGAGCTCCAGTTTCTTACCTACATGACATGGGAGAGACTCCATCAAGCTGGACATGAGCAACAGCTCCAGGAGGTCACTCCATGCTGCAGCTTTGTCAGAATTAAATTCTGCAATGGCCCTTTGATTTATTTACATATCTGATCTCAAACTGACACCTATCAGTCAACTTAAATCACTCCTGTCTGCACAGTCACCCCAGGGTTTGACTCTCTGATTCTCAAGTTGAACTGACACCTATCAGTCAACTTCAATCACTCCCCTCTGCATAGGGTTTGATTCTTTGACTCTCAAGTTGTGTCTTTGTTAAGGTTTCAAGCCTCCAGAACCTCAATAATTAGCAAACAAAAAGGAAAGGCTGATTCAAGAAAGACTGTGGAAACTCCAGAACAAAACATATGTGAAAAAGATCCTCCAAGGAGAGTGGGAGTAGCTGTGTTTGTTTAGCCTGGAAAGGCAGTGCCACCATCCCAAATGGCTGAGCAGTTCTCACAGGGGACAGCAACCAGAAGCTCCTTAGGGCACAAACCAGAGGGACAAGGAGAGCAGTCAGCAGCACAATGTGATGGTCACACAACATGCAGAAGTGCCAAAGAACCTGAGAGGGAAACACAAACCCACCCAGGGAGTGGCAGCAGGTCAGACACACGCAGAGGTGCTGGCAGGGCTGGCTGGGGGATTCAGGAAATGTGCTAAGGCATCTTTAGCCCCTGCCTTCCCTGTCCTGCTGTTACAGACATGTCTTTTATATTTTCTACACCCAGGCACACTCCTGGGCTGATGGCAAATGTCCTGCCAGTATGATAAACTAGCAGAGCCTCAAGGACGATGGAGGAGAAGCTGTGAGAGGAGGAATGAGACTCTGCCACGTCCAATGGCAGCACTGTGTGTCACAGAATGTCCCAGCACACATCTACAGACGTGAAAAGGCCCCACACAGGACATCCCAGCACTGTTAGATTTTTCTTGAGTTAATGTAAACCATCACATCCATGGTGTTTCTAATACTAGCTTACAGCTGTGCAGCCTGGATGTCACCACTCTTATTTTAATGCTTCTTTAATAAAATCTCTCCAGGCCACAGGGGCATCCTATGCAGAACAATGCACTGAGCACCAAGAGAGGTGACAAATCAGCAAGAGCATGGCTCATCCCTTCTCTAAAAGAGAATCCTGACTTCAGCCACCTCCAGGCTATGCTGGTGTTTGTCAGCTTGCCTGAATTTCATGCTGGTTTGTTCCAGCTAGAGGACCCACGGTGCCTTCTTTCTGGCATAGAAACAAATACAAGGTAGAAAGACACACCAAGCTCTGTAAAAGCCTCTGGTGCTGGTAAAACCAAGTTGTTGGCCCTCACTTGCTCATTGGAGATTTTGTGAGCAGAATTTCCAGAATTCCCTCTGCAGAGTGTGTGTTCAATGCTCTAACTTCTACCTCTCCATCACACTGTGCAAGGTCCATCTTCTCAGCATGACCCAGCAGGTACCATTCCATTATGATTTCCATTACTGGAAATGATTTTTAACATCTTCCTAACACTAAAAATTCAGGTGTTTAACAACAGACCTAAAATCAACACCAGACATTTCAGTAACTGATGACATTTTGGATATTTTACAGATGAAAGCTCCTTTGAAGTCAACAGAAAATGCAAATCTCCTTCCAGGTGTTCAGAAGAATTTCCAGTGTTACATTTAGAGTAGGATATTGAAGCAGCTGAGTACCCTTGCACTCCAGAGCATTTGGATTTAAAAAAATGAACACTCCCCCCAAATACAGCCACCACTACTGCAACCAACAAAACATCAAACACACAATACTCTAACAAAACCCCTACACCTTCTCTCCTTCCTTTCAGAATTGTAGAAGTCTAAACCACTGTTTTAAACAACCTCACTGGAGCACTCCACATATTTACAAATATTTGTCTTTAAAAACACCAACATGTGACACATTAAAACACACAACAGCACACAAAGCAGCCTCAGTGCACCATGCACAACACACTATCAAAAAACACCAAATAAATGAAGCCAAGGAAACCATCAGGCACTCAAAAACCAGCAAAAACCAGTGCAACAAGGCACTGAAACCAAAGTGCAGGCACCCAGTGAGGAAGAGTATGTTCCAGCAACCATCAGTAATTACAGTATTAGCAATTTAACTTGTGTTTCACAAAGCCAAGTCTGGATTTATTATCTTTCCTCCACCATCTTTCAAATATATAATGACAAATCAATTGTTTTGTAACCTTTACAAAAGCCCATGTTCTGTCAGCAGCTAACAAAAGCCAGAAATTTAGCTGTTTTTATTCCAAGACATCTAATTCTTTAACTAAAGAAAGATTCATGTTTACACACATCAAGGTACCAAGATTTTAGCATTACAGATAAATCTGCAAGAGGCTCAGTGCATATTGTGCAGTACAACCACAAGCCTGAGACATATTTAGAATCACAGAATGGTAAAAGTTGGAGAAGACCTTTAGGATCATCGAGTCCAACCATAAATCCAACAGCACCATGTCCTCTGCAAGGGGTGGTGACCCCAGCACTGCCACAGGGGGCTCCCCCAGTTCCCTGCATGGTGCTGTGATGCTCCCCCTCCCATCAGTGTTCCCTGCTAAGGGATAAAACAGCCTCTGCTCCCTTCCATTTTTTGGGAGCTGCATTTGCAGAGACTGGAATAGCTATTAAAAGGGCTCAGTTAGTAGAGCAAATTAAGGAAATTATTTGCCTAAGTAAATTTGGAGACATTTTAGCATGAGCTCTCATTTGGTGAAAGATGAAATAAAAATGTCTTAATTGTGGTTAACAACAAAGGAAGGAGGAAGGAGAAGGAGAAGGAAGGAGAAGGAAGGAGAAGGAAGGAGGAGAAAGGAGGAGAAAGGAGGAGAAAGGAGGAGAAAGGAGGAGAAAGGAGGAGAAAGGAGGAGAAAGGAGGAGAAAGGAGGAGAAAGGAGGAGAAAGGAGGAGAAAGGAGGAGAAAGGAGGAGAAAGGAGGAGAAAGGAGGAGAAAGGAGGAGAAAGGAGGAGAAAGGAGGAGACAGGAGGGGAAGAAAGGGGAAGGAAGGGGAAGAAAAGGAGAAGGAAAGGAGAAGGAAAGGAGAAGGAAAGGAGAAGAAAAGGAGAAGAAAAGGAGAAGAAAAGGAGAAGAAAAGGAGAAGAAAAGGAGAAGAAAAGGAGAAGGAAGGAGAAGGAAGGAGAAGAAAAGGAGAAGAAAAGGAGAAGAAAAGGAGAAGAAAAGAGAAGAAAGGAGAAGAAAGGAGAAGAAAAGGAGAAGAAAAGGAGAAGAAAAGGAGTTGTAGTATGGAGTGTTGTGTCATTTCACTGCACAAACACAGCTATACCACAACTAGAGACAATGATGATCCCAAACCAAGAACCATGTGGCAAACTTCATGGGGAGATCCAAAGTAACAGCTTTGTAAAAAATCTTATTCTTTAAGTTGAAGCCCCATCAAGAGATCAGTGCCCATCTACAATTTAAGCTATGTGCTCTCCTACAAACCCTTCTCTCCAACACACCTGGTTAAGCTTAACATTGGCTTTTTACTGAGACATAAAAGAGCAATTGCAGGCACAGAGAAATCTTTGAGAAGTGACTTTTTACCGAAAGGAGGTAGTCCATAGGTCTGGGTGGTCTGGGGGTAGATGGTGTAGGGCTGGGACTGCTGTAGTGCTTGGTACTGAGGCTGAGCAGGGTAAGGGCTCATTGTTTCTGACACTGGTACAGAGAGGATATGTGCATATGGCCTTGGGGAAGAGAGAGAACAAAAATCAGAAAGAACTGGTTACATTACACAGCTTTCAGCCTTCAAACCAAAAGACACATTCAATAATTGCTCCAGAAAGGAGAAATCACTCAGACTGACAATTCCTCTTGGTGCAATAAGCTCCTTGTGCTTCCCAAGGCAGGCTCCTGAGTTTATAGATGCTGCCTGCAGTGACAGCAGGGAAAATCCCTCCTCCACAGTGCCAGAGATCCAGGACTGGGAGGGCAGGGTGGGCTGGAGGGACACATCCCCATTCCAACAGGTATGAGTGGTCAGTCCCACTAATCATGCCACCCTGAAGCTGCTGTAATTCAGCAGCACCTGCAAGAACCAGGGACACACACACACAGAAACTACACAAAAACAAGCAGCAGGGCTTAAAGCCCATCCTGCTCCAACAGGAAAAAATACAAAGATCCCAAAACACAGTGAATGATGAGAAAATTTCATATTCCCCTTATATTTATTTATTTTCAATTTGTTTATTTGACAAATATCATGTGCATTATTCATCAAGATTATCACGTTAATTACTTGAAGGGCTTCATTTATCTTTGTGGGGCTTTCATTTATCATTTTTAAAACAGTCACTGAAGCTAAAGGGTGAATTCTGTAAATTCAGTGTCTTCAGCAATGAGTATCTGCTCCCAGTTGTGGGATTTACTGCACTAGAGAAATGCATAGAGATACAAAAAAATACTTCAGAGAAGAATTACAGAACTCAGTAACAATTTCTTGACTTACTTTGCAGAATACATTTGTGAGGTATAATCACTTGATGACCTTGGGATATAATCAGTGCATGTCATAACTGAAAAAAAAAAAAGTTTGTGTAATTACAGAGGTGCTTTCAAAACCCAACAAATAAAGACAAATATCAATACTCATGGCACATTTTAGTCAACACACTGTATTTACAAAGAGTTTTAGTGCCCTGAATATCTGTTTCAAAGCAAATTCTCAAAAAAACACTGTTAAGCTGGCACAAAAATATTTTGCCAGCTCACAGCAGGTAGATCAGTGAGTCACACTATTCCTCCCTCTTTCTCTTTATCAGCTCATACCATAATTTTTTGCAACTGTCATAAAAAAAACTCTGATTTCAGTCCTCCCCAAAACCCTGCATATTTGTCAAAGGGGCTTCATCTGCACCAAGTGTAACATTTCTCTGTCCTGGAGCAGAAAACAAACATCTTTGGTCTCTCTTTTGCCAAGCTTTCCTCTTCCACTAGGTATTCTGTCCATGCATGGCTCCAGCAAAGAGTTTTCCTGCAAAAAGGAACAGCTCCAGCTCAATGAACTTAATCACAAATATCCAGGGAAGCACAGCTGCAGTGCACAAGGCTCAGAGGTGCCTCTAAAATAAGCTGGCAGTTACATTTAACCAGATTTTTCTGCTTCAATAAATCCACAGCAACTGCACTCTGAAGCTGGTAAGACAGAGTGGCTCAGCTGGCAACCCAGAGAGGAAATGTTTCAGATGTTCTCAGTCAGCACAGCTCTGGTTCACCTTGTGTGAGATTGCTCTGTTACAGCACTCCAGGCTGGGCTGGAGAGGGGGGCTTGGGCTCCTATGGCTTCATCCAAGAGCCAATAAACACCCTTGGATCACATCAGCTGATTGAATACTCAGCTGTCCATCAGGAAAGCAATGATGGGCAGGAGCCCAGCAGAATTTGGCCCCTGTAGCCTCTGTGGCAGGAGCCCAGCACAGAATTTGTCCCTGTGCAGCCTCTGTGGCAGGAGCCCAGCACAGAATTTGGCCCCTGTAGCCTCTGTGGCAGGAGCCCAGCACAGAATTTGGCCCCTGTAGCCTCTGTGGTAGGAGCCCAGCACAGAATTTGGCCCCTGTAGCCTCTGTGGCAGGAGCCCAGCACAGAATTTGGCCCCTGTGCAGCATCCCTGGCAGGAGCCCAGCACAGAATTTGTCCCTGTAGCCTCTGTGGCAGGAGCCCAGCACAGAATTTGTCCCTGTAGCCTCTGTGGCACATGGCACCACCACAGTGCAGCAAGTGCTGTGGCTGTATCTGCAAGCACATGGGTTTATCAGCTCAGACCTACAAGCACCATACCCAAACTCTCAGCAAACACAGCTGCATGCTCTGGATCCAGCTGATTCCCCTCTGAAAGCAAAGCACCCAGGCTTGCCCAGGAGCTAATCCAGGCTAACTGTGTATCCCCAGGGGCCCTGCTCCCCCACACCTACCATTACAAGAGACCACATTTTCCCTCTGGAGTGACTCAATAACAGCCTCCAAATCAGGGTTATGGACAACAGCATCCTCTGCCCCAATAATGTGCTCAAAAAATTTGGGATTTCCATATTGGACCTGAATTATTGCTCTTGTATGACCATGTAGTAAACTCTCCTGAGTTACACTGAGGAAAGCAGGACAGTGCCACAGGCAGCTCTAACCCCAATGTGCATCCTGCCACCCCAAAAACCTTCTCTTTGTGTGATCTGAACACAAGCAGCTGAGAAGTACAAACCATCAACCACATGTGCTGAAGATCCCAAATGATCCATGAATCACCTTCCTCTGCTCCTCAGTGTTTGCCTTTGCTCACAGTGTGAGCCCATGTAGCACAAGGATACAACAGGAAACACAAACTGAGAACTTTTGGACTTAAAGGCTTTCCTCTAACATTTGTCAGTTCCCACATGTTGAGGATCTGCAGGGTTTTTTAAAGAAAGTCAATATTCATCTGAATAGTTATGTAGTAATGATATTTCTAGAATTTGTGTTTATAAATTGCATACAAAGAACTAGGCAATGGTGAAAAAAGCAAAAAAATCCCACAATAACACTGCAGGGAATTTCTAGGATTTGTAAATGGCTTATCCAGTTAGGCAGCAGATTTTGCAGGATGAAATTTCCCATAACTCCTGCAACACCACAGTTCATGGATTAAAATAGCAATGATTAAATCAATTACAATGGGAAGTTACACCTTACACACCTTCAGCTAAGGTGAGCTGGCTTAGACTTCAAAATATGTATTGGCAGTCAAAGGTATTTCACACAGGAATCTGACTTTCCTAATAACTTCCAACTCTCTTTTTCCAAGAGAAATTATACACTCCACTTTTCATTTAGCATGCAACCTTTGTATTCCCTGCCTGTTTCCTCTCTGTTTATTTCCTAAGAGCTTTCTGCAGCCATTCAATACAATTCAGAGTCTAAGATGAAGTGTATGGCATATTGCTACAAAGGGCCCAACCAGCTGTGTAGAGATAATGATTTATAAAACATGTTTACAATAGGCATTACAACTGATATGGACTCAACCCTCAAGAAGAATCGTGTCTAAGGCAGATAAGACACAGCAGTGCTCAAAAGCACCCAACAGCCAGCTGAGGGGCAGTGACAGAAAAATATTTGTTAGAAACAGATATTTCCTTCCCATCAGGCATTAACACTTTGTAAACACCACAGCAAATGTTCACTTTACAACTGATAGTGAGAGCAGGCTAAGGATTACAAGGAGGAGACAAAGCTTGTGGTGGATGGAGCATGGTACCAGGGAAAGGCATGAGCAAAGACAATGGGAGAACTCCAGATACTCACTCTCACTGGACATGGGAAGGTTTGAACCAAGGTTTGAAGATTCAGTTTTCTGCTCACTGACTTCTGTGCTGCTCACATGACTGCCAGGACAACAAAGGCTCAGTGTTAGCATTAGGAACTCTAAAATTAACATCCTTGGCCATCATAACCTCTGTGTTCAACCCTTCTGAGCAAGGCAAGCTAACTCTTCACAAAACCCAGCCTTGTGCTCTTTGCTATTTCAGGAAGAGATTCTGAGAGCGAGATCTGCAACTGGAATTAGACATCAAACTATGGGGTTTGAGTGGCCAGGGTTTGGTAGTGGGGGGCTGCAGGGTGGTTTCTGTGAGAAACACCTCTTGGCATCTCCATTCCATGTCCCCAGGCTGCAGCATCCAGGGAGGAGCTGCCAGCAGTGCAGTGTGACCCTGCTGGCACAGCTCCCTGCCATGGCCATTGCCTCACTGCTGCATTTGTCCCTGAGGAGCAGTGCTGAAACATCCTTCAACTGGGGTCACTTCTGCATTTAAATATTTGCAGGTTGCTGGATTATTCTGGATTTGTCCCACGTTGTTTCAGTTCCATGTTGATGTTGCTTTGTTCATGTACAGAGTAGGAAGTACAGATCATTTCTGAATGAAACTGTTTTTTCCTTGGTTATTGCCATCCAGGCTTTAATTTTATTATTGCTAGCTCTGCAACACAGATTTTCATGAGGTTTTGAGCCATCTGTGTGCTGTTGTGATATTTTGAAATTGCAGTTTCTCAAGGTGAAGGAGCCAAAGGAACTGCACCTTGTAGCTCAGGTGTGCACCAAGCAAGGTGCTCTCTGCCTCCCTCCATCACCTGACTCCACTCAGCATCCCAACAAAAATCAACTGCACAGTTTTGTGTTGGATAAATAAATTAAATTTTCAGGAAGAGCCTAAAGTGTCTGAGCTGGGCTACACAGGGAGCAGGAGGCTGTATGAGAAATAAACCCAAATCTTGCAACACCTTTCCCCACCCATCCCTGCTTTCTGGGCTCAACTAAACTGATGTTTTCTCCCTCCTTCACCTCCTGCAGTGCAGAAAAAAGGGAGAAACAGGTCCAATAAGTTCTTTTAAATTAATCCATTGGTCAAACTTAAAATCATGTATAACTTTAGCAAAACAGAGCCAGAATATTTAAACAGATTACTTAATCAAGTTAGAAATATAGCTTTATCCTAACCCTCTCTTCTGTTTTCAAAATCTGGATGTCCACAATTTTAAAATCCAAGGATGTTTACACTCAAATCTTGAGCTCCCTGTGCCCATAGGAAGGTGTGGGTGTGCTGAAGCAGGATAGCACAGAGGGAGAAGGGAGAGCCCCCCAACACGCCCAGACCTCTCTACCCAAGAGAGGGAATAACTCTCCCTAGGATCTGATTTCTCTGACTCAGATGGGCCAGAAAGGGAGCTGGTGTGATTAGATCAAAATTGTAATTTTGAGAATATAGAACATGATCACTCCTGCAGAAATGGTGTTTCCTCCTTGCTCTTATTGGAATGGCAGAGACTCCAAAATGAAATCTTTGCTCACTGAATTTGCTGCTACTCAGAGAAGCAGAATCAATCCTAAAATAGCTATTCTCATTATAAGAAGTAATAAAAATAGTTAATTTCTAAATACAATACACATCCAAAAGCATCTACTGAGGTTAAAAATAATATCACACAAGAGCTTTAAATAGGAGAGGCTACAATTCAAGAGTTTCATTTCTCAAAGCAGTTACTCACAGTTTCAGCAAGAACAGTAGTACAGATATTACTAAAATATCCTGAGTCTCACCAAATTAAATGCATGTTATTTCAGTCTCATTCTCTGAAAGACAGATGTGCTGATGCCATTCTCTTTGTGACCACTTTTATAAAAGCCTTATACCACAGGGCTAGTTAATTATTTTTCATTGGGAACTTAATCAAAATTATACCAAATCCAAATACAACTTTATTTTCCATAGCTCTGTAAAAAAATAAATCAAGAGGCAAATTTCTAAAATGAAAGCTTTATAATTGTAAAAGACCATAAAGAACTGTTCCACACTAAAATCAAATTTTAAACCCCATACCTCAGGCTCTGGTCTCTGGATTCCTGCATCTTGGCTTTTTTCACCTGCAAAGACAAAAATGTTCAGAGCTACAACTAACACAAGCTGGAGGGTTCACAGTGGTGGTTAAATGTCCTGCACTCCAGAACCCACCAGTGTAACCATGGGCTCCTCATCTCAAAACAAGCTTTTTCCTAATTAGAAAACAAGGGCTAACAATGGATTTATATAGCAGAATTACTGAATAACTATTCATGTTAGTTACAGGTGCTGAGATATAAAGCCACAAAAATGGCTGGTAAGGGCAATTTTGTGAAAATTGAATAAAACAAGTCATAAATTTAAAGAAAATCTTATTCTGCACAGGTTCAGCACAAACTTTGCTCTTTCCCCCCTATATTTTAATATTGCATAAAGATAGGAACATGAATTCTTTTTCTGTAACAAATTAGGAGTTTTGACTCCTGACTAAAAGCAATACAGCCCTTTTTCTCATTTTGGAGGTGCCAGCTGGATCCTGTTCCTGCACAGGGTATTACACCACTGACAGCACTGGCTTGAACACAAATTTGGTTTCTGCAGGCTACAAAATTACTGTGAAACCCTCAGAAGGATGCCAGGGTGAGTTTCTCCTGCAAGAACATGCCACTACCACCTCATTCATTCATGATGATCCATCGAGTCTCATAATCTGTCACAGAATGACTGACTGGTATCACTGGTATTCTTAAAAGAAATTACCAAGAAAATCTTTAGCTGAATATTACAGCAGAATCTGCTTAAAGGACACACCACTGAAAATTAGCTGTACCCTATCTCTCATGCCCTAAAGGATAAAGACTTTTCATTATATTAGGATGTATTTAGAGAGATTTCCTTTTATAATACAGGCAATTCATCTTTAAATAGCTGGAGTATAAACTATATGGTTTTGCTGCTTAGTTTCACATTTTGTGGATATTACTCAAGCCCATCATCTGCAGCTTGTGGCAAGCCAGGTTCTGAATAATTTTACATTTCCATTTCATTTGATTTTGTTCCTAAGTCATAAAATTGCATAAATGACATTACAATGTATTTTCTAACTAGTTTAACTGAAGAATATTAAACTCTCACATTAAAAAGGCATCAAAATCTTTTCAATTAAACACAAAGTGCCCTCAAGCACATTATTCTGTTTCTGTGTGCATTTGACAAGGTGTCCAAGATTACAAGCATCCCTCCCATTGCAACTTGGCAATTTCTTGTTGAGTTTGTGCCAGGTTTATTTTGGGAACAGAACATTAATACAAACATTTCTGTTTAATTCCTATGCTATTATGTTTTAGATACACAATTTAATTAATCTCATATGTATTGATAATTCTCTACCAACACTTCCATGCTGTGTTAATATCAGTTATTGATAATGCAAACACTATTGTAAATATTTCACATACATGTAGCAACTTTAACCTTCAGACATGCTCCCCAACCTACTGCTACATCAGTCATTTAAAAATGCCTTCCACTTGTGGAAACAATGAATCACAGGATCTTTTCAAGATCTCAAACACAAAAAGAATTAAACACTACACACTCTAATACCCAGCATGCTGAATTTGTCCCTAAAATAGTGAATTTTATTTTCTCTACAACAGGCTTGAGGTAAGTCTGGTTTTCTGAGTAATCTTTTTGCATAGAAACATCATAAAGTTCAAGAACTTATAACTGCTCCTTTCTTACTACTGCCTGTACAATTATAGTAAATTAAATGTACAGCACATTTTATGAACAACAAAATGCTTTTTGTCCTCTGGACAAATACACTAAGTATAAACCTTCTTTTCCAATATTAGCTAAAATAACTGTATACCAAAATTGTGAGATCAGTAATTTGTTTTAGATTTTCATTTTCAGCCTTTTTAAAATATACTTACTGGTTGCTCGGGTAAGTCTTGTGGCTCTTCCATGGGTATTACTATTATTTTAATGCTCAAATGATTCAAACTGTGTGTTCCTCAGCAGTCTTCAAGCCCTGTTGAGAAAAGGTGTTCATGGCTTTATGTACTTTTTGGGGGCTTATCATGTAGGCTATCAGAGAATATTAATTGTTATGTACTCCTCCCCTAAAACTCGTGGGGCCATCTCCCAAATAAAATACAAAATTCATATATGGAAAGATTTCATAAACAAGGGATTTAGCTTTAAGCTTTGAAGATAGAGATTTTTCATGCACATGGGTACATTTCTACATCATTTGCTCGGACCACGTTGACTGCAGAAGCTCACACACTAATCAGACACGTGCACCATGATTTTAAAGACAGTTTAAATGATCAAGTCTGGTCTACTAGGTCAGTAAACAGCACGATTCAATCTAACCTGTTTTTATTTAGAACATTTATATAACAATCAAAAAAAAAAAAATCAGGACAAGACTGTACACCTAAATGCATTTACACACAGTGCTGTTCCCCACCACATTCACAAAGCAAGTTCATTATTTCAGTTGCACCTTTCAAAAAGAGAAGTTTGATGAAATTTTATAAAAGAATTTTTATTTTGGAAGCACTTAGCAGAGAGATGTTATATACATCAAAAAGCTGCTGCTTTCCAGGGACTTAAAATCATGAAAAAGAAATTTTGCATAATATTCTCACAACCTGATTAACTTTTGCAATTTTTGCTGGGCAAAAGAGAAAGGCCTGTGTCCTCCTGGCTTCACCTGATGTGTACAAGCAGTATGAGCTGTGTTTTTGTTCTTTCTGCAGCTCATTTTGGAGCCTCTTTATTAAACCAACCCCAACCTCTTCAGAGCAGCTTTCCCTGAGCTGCCTCCTCTGCCACACACCCACACAGCACAACCTCAGGGGACTGCAGAAATCAGACAAAACGCTGAAAAACTCTTAGTGGGTTGGAGGAGTTAAATCCAGAGCCTTTCTGTGCTGAGGTACAACCTATTCCTGCCTCTGCAGAAATGTGAAAGTGCTTTTTTACACACCACTCCTTCCTCCAGGACCTTCTATTCACCCACCCTGCCCGGAGTATTCAGGCACCTCCAAACCACGGGGTTACCCCCACACAGAGTGACTGAACTGGTTCACAAAAACAACTTTGTGGTGTCCTGAAAACCAGGGCTGTGTCCCCTCCCTGGTTCCTGCCAGACCTACTGACCTGGCAGCACGTGCAGCCCGGTGGCAGCGCGGCCCCACGTGCCAGCCCCGAGGATGTGTGCAGCCTGCAATAATTCCACCTCAACCACAAAACACAAAAGGTTTCTCCCTCATTTCAGGGCAGGTCTTACATGCCACGGTGTATTTTATGTGGCAGGATTGCATTTCATTGAGGGTTTGAGGATTTTGCAAGGCTGCCACCCCTAATCAAAGCTACTTACCCTTATTGCCTGGACTCGAATTCACAATTAGTGTTTTCCATAATTCAGGTTCTTTGGAAATGACCCTATTCACAACACAAAGCACTACTGTCACACTTCCAGTTTTTCCTCCGCTAGTTTCAATCTGTTTTATTTTAAATATAAATCTTATTTATTTTTTGTAGAAATAACAGAAAAATTAGGACTAAAGAGAAACTCTGGTTCTCAGAGATTATACAAAGGAGTACAAAATACAATTGCCAAGAGCAAGAAGATTTGAAATTTATTCCTGTCCTTCATCCTTCACTTCTGTTATTTAACACTTTTTTGCTGTGTAATTTCATAGAAGAATCCCAAACTAAACTCTTCAGTATGGAAAAACATTTTACATTCCACTGATCCATACAGCAGTAACTTCCCATGCCATGCTCTGCTTAAAAGCTGTGAGCAGTTCTTTAATTTTGGTTTTCAGAAGGATTTAAATAATTACAAAGACAAAAAGATTCTCAGAGTCCCACTGGAATATCTTACATGTGTGAGGAAAGCACTTTTTCCAAATAAGATGGGCATCTTGTAGCACCTGGAAGCAGATGACTGAACCAAAGCAAATGAACAGAAAGTGTTCAGAAGGCAGAACTTGAAGTGAGAGGAGAGAACAGAAGTGAGAATTCCAAGTGAGAACTTGGCCCAGGGTGGCTTTGTGCCTTCCCTGTACCTGCAGAAACAGCAGTAGGGGCAGAGGGTGACACCTCACACTCCAGGTGTGCTGTGGTGGCACAGAGCAAGCAGGGGGAGATGGAGGCACTGAGCTCCCCAGCTGAGCTGAGAGCAAGGGCTGAGGGCATCCTCCCCCTGCCAGGGCCAGCTGCAGCAGCTTTTCCACACCCCAACAGTGCTAAATAACAGGGAGGAAAAAAAGGGAGAGCTCCTGCTTCTCCTGAGCTCCTGCTTCACCTGACCTTCTGCCTCTCCCAGCCTCCTGCACCCCACTCCTGCCTGCCTCCCACTGCCTCCTCCCTGCCCTCCAGAGGCTGGTGAGGTTGGACAGCAGTCTGGATGTAGGATCTGCCAAGGGAAAAGAAAGAGGAGAGGAGAGGAGAGGAGAGGAGAGGAGAGGAGAGGAGAGGAGAGGAGAGGAGAGGAGAGGAGAGGAGAGAGAAGAGAAAGAGAAGAGAACCAGAGAGACCCAAGCAGACTCTTTCTGCTGAGCTGATGACACAAAGATCAGCTCTGGCCCTGCCCAGCCCTGCTCCAGGGGAGCCAGCAGGGTGAGGGTCAGGAAAAACACACAAGCAGAGCAGCAGGATGTCCCTTTTCAGCCACAGCAAATGAAACCATAATTTTAGCATCTACTTTGATGAAGCAGAGACATGGCAGCGATAAATATCCAACAGCCTTTTCACCTGTAGCACCCAGCCAGTCACCAGGGTCTCACACAGAGCAGGCACACATCTCCCTGTGGCTGGGCACACAAAATCCTTGGGGCATGGCATGGCAGGAACCTCTCCCTGCCTCCCTCTCCCTGCACATGGAGGCTGAGTGAAGCTGCTGGCAGCTCCAAGGCTGAAACCACCAGCAGGATCCTGCTCCTGCCCCATTCATGTCCCAAAGAGCCCTCTCCAGCACAGCTCATCCCCAGCTGCCCCCCAGCCCTTGGTGGGTACATGGCCCATGGCCCCAAACTCCTCCAGCTGCTCTTGGACACCTCCTCACCCAGTGTGAGAGCTCTGAACCACCCAGAGCTTGGATTTCCCAAAAATCAAACCCAGCACCTTGAACCTGCTCAGCCTGAGCTGCCTCAGAGGAGCACACTGAGCCAGCAGCTCACCAGCAACAAAGATGCTTTTTAAAAACTGAAAATACACAAAGCTGATTTTTTGTTCAGGCTTTTGGGGGATTTTCTTGGTTTTTTGTTGTTTTGGCTTTTTTTTTTTTTTGCACATCAAATCTCAAAACTAGATTTTTAACTCATATAAAACTCAAGTTAACTGCATTTCAGGTAAGCTTTATTCTTTTTTTACACATTACTACAGAACATTTTAAACCCTAAGTGAACACAACAGCAGAGGTATCAAAGGTTCAGGAGGTGAGAATGCTTCTGTGGGTCACTGGGTTTATGAATGAGAAATACAGTATAAAATGGAAGCAAGTGTGCAAGAAGCCATTAAGAGCTGCTGCAATGAAAGAAACATTCAGAAAAATGAGTCCATTGTTCTGCTTCTGGAAACCAGCAAAGTACCACACTTTTTTGCTTTATGGGATGATTTTAGTTAATTACCTGATGAAAACTATTCTGTAATATGTGAATTAAACACCAAGTTTTATTTGATCTAGACTTGTTTGAAATAGCAACCCTGTTTAATTTCAACTGGCATGGAACACCAACAATGCAAAATGATAAGAATTGGGTTTGTGTGTAATTTGATTTTGTTTGCTCAATTTAAGGAGCCACATTATCCAAACTTCAAACTAGAAGACCTCAGAGCAGAGGTATGGGCTGCAGAATCCCTCTCTGCTCTGCACATCTTCACGCCAATAATTCACCATTAAAAGCCCTGGCAAGTGATCTCCAGTTTCTTGCACTAAATCCTGTGTTGAAAATCCTAAAATACAAAGCCCAGCTTGGTCAGACTTTGTCAAACTAGATGCTCTGGATAGAATTTCTGAAAGCTGCCTGCTATGAGCAGCACCTGGATGGACTGCTATTTACTTTCAGCTTGTGGTTTTCAAGCCCATCTGCCTTGGCTTTGAATATAAAGTTTCATGCAAGCAACAGTTCTCCCAAGCTGCAAATAATTAAAGTCAGGATGCTGTGATAAAACATGCAGCAATTATACTGATTAGGAAAAAAGCTAATAACTATGGTTTTATATTACCTTAAAACAGTCACTATTTCCCTAGGAACAAAGTTTTGATTTGGGTAATGAAATTACATCTATTAAACAGTGTTGGAATAAAATCATAGGATCATTTATTTTGGAAAAGACCTCCAAGATCATTAGGTCCAACCAATGCCCAGCACTGCCAAGGCCACCACTAACCCATGTCCCCAAGTGCCTTGTCTTTAAACCCCTCAAGGGATGGTGACTCCAGCTCTGCCCTGGGCAGCTGTGCTAGGGTTGGATATCCCTTTCAGGGAAGAAATTTTCCCAAATATCCAATCTAAACCTTCCCAGGCACAGCTTGAGGCCATTTTCTCTTGTCCTGTCCCTTGTCCCCTGGGGGCAGAGCCTGACCCCACCTGGCTCCATCCTCAGTCAGGGAGTTGTGGAGAGAGCAAGAAGATCCTCCCCAGCCTCCTTTTCTCCAGGCTGAGCCACACCAGCTGCTCCTCATCAGAGCTGTGCTTCAGCCTCTTCCCCAGCTCTGCTCCCTTCTCTGAACATGCTGCAGCCCTTCAACTTCTGTATTGTAGTGAGGGGCCCAAAACTGAACCCAGAAGAGAGGGAAATCACTTCCCTATTCCTTGACACACCTTTTTTCACACAGGATGCCCTTGGCACTTCTGGCCACCTACCCACATGCTGGCTCATGTTCAGCAGCTGCCAACCAGCACCCTCAGGTCCCTTCCCACCACTTTCCTCCCAGCCTGGAGTGCTCCATGGATTGTTGTGCTTAGGATGCACTCCATTCCCTTTCCAGAACATTCAGAAATGTATTAA